GGCTGAGAATTCATAGCACTCTTGAACCTAGTCCACCACATCACAAAATCAGAAATAAGAACTCTTTTCTTTGACTTCCTAATCACATTCTACAATTAATGCAGTAACATTATGATTGAATTTCAACATGTTCATATAAACCCACACAGCCAACTCTATTGTAAGTTAATTAAACTCAATCAAACAGAAATCGGAATGTAAACACAAAATAAAGTAAACGAGCATATTACAGTTTCTCTGAGATCCTCCCCGTGCAAATCCTGAAGAATATCCAGAAAGCGATCGAGCAACAAAGCATCATATTCCACCAGCTTATCATCCTCCGACACCTTACTCGGTGCAAGAAGTCTCAATTGAGCATCAATGGAAGCCATTTTCTCCAAGTTCTTAGGCGCCGCCATTTAGTTCTCCGCTGCTTCGTCCTTTATTCACAAATCCAACCACCCAAATCACGAATCAGCAATCGCGAAATACACAAAACACAATGTAACCAAATACGGAAACATTAAAACCAAATGGGAAAAGAAAAACGCAAAAAAGTGAGAGCCCGTGATGATCGACAGTACAAATCATACAAATTCCCAATGTAAGAAGATCCCTCACCTCACGCTTCAGAAAGAAAGAGATACTGATCTCGGCACGAGAAAGCGGCAGAAAAGAAGAAGACCTTCGAAAGCCGAAAATCACAAGCAGAGCAGAGAAAACAAACTGACAAAAGTGATTTCGAGAGCTTGAGCAAGAATCTTGTTTGTATCTCCCAATTTATAGACGAAGAATAAGCCTTTTCCTTCTCTGTCTTAGATTTCGTTTTCGTTTTCCTTTTCGGTTTTCGCTTTCAATTTCTCCTGTAGAAGACTCTTCTTTGTGGCACGTAGCAGTTGCTTTTAATTGAAAACGAATATGCGGATTAATGCCGTTCTTGATTGGGTAATTTTAGGCCAATTATACTATACTAAAACACTTTTTAAAATTTTCAATTTCGTCATAAATCTTTTAAAACTATATTATTAAAATTTCAGAGATCTAGTCATCACTCTGAAAGTTGATTTTGGATGGACGCCAATATTTTTCAGTGGAATATTAGGCAGAGCCACTATTTTATCTATTTTTATAAAATATTGATTAAAAAGTTTTTAGAGTTTTTTAAAATACGTGTAATTTAATTACTGCTGTTGCATATAGTCCATGAAGCATGCGCGCATGCATGTGCCATTTTGTTTTGGCACTCAGTTATATATATCAAATCCCAACTCTAACGGCGCCCACGGGTTTTGTTCAAGTGCCAACAAAGCACCCTATTATATAATATATATGGACTTTTCTTTAACATATTTGATTCGTACAGTCGTACATCCTTTTTTTTTTTCTTTTTTAAATTCTTAACAACTCAATTATGTCGTATAATATTAAGTAAATGCTCTTGACGTGGCCACTTATTTCATTCCACGTTCTTCAGTGGGGCCCGCCCTATTCGACTGCGTGGGAAATACAAAATCCAAGTAAGTCACTACATATTTTCTTTTTGCCTGTCAGCGATGAAAGAACTACTCAATTTTTTTAAATAGTGGTCGCAAATAGTTTGATCTAATGCTTTATTTCTGATGTAGTTGATCTACTACATAATTAATTTCGTGTTTTCTACTCTCGATTTTTTTAAGGTTTTTTCTTTCTCCCCTAAAGCAACATGTAAACAAACTGTACATAGAGAAAAGGAGGGATAGTGTTTGAAAAGAATGAACTCAAACAGACGAATTTAATTTAGGGTGAATCAAATTTAAAAGAAAAATCAAACCACTTAAAAAAAAGTAAAAAGTTTTAAATTTCTTCTCTAAATTTCTAAGAAGCTTGCAAATATTTTTTTTATATATATATTTTTCCATTTTAGGTAACTTTAACTCCTTTAATTTTTTTTGTTTTGTTAATTTATAGTATGTATTAAGCTTATTATCAACCAATTTCAACCTTCGCCAATTTCAACATTACCTACTAGAATGATATAATTGAAAAGCCTTAGAATATAAAGAACTAAATGAATATTTATTAATGAAGACTAAATTAAAAAAATTATGTCCATACATTACGAACTAATCTATTAAAAAGTATATTTAGTATGTTGATTAGAAATCCTTCCAATTAATTATATTAAAGCTCAACTTTTTAGGTTTCAGCTGTATTATTTATTCTTACGAACTAACTTTCACCTAAAAAAACATTACCATATTTTCTCTCTCTGTTTAATTATTTTAATTTTAATATTAATCTCTGTAATAAAATAGGCGAGTGAGACGAGATAGAATCTAAAGTAACTTAGAGACAGTAGATGAACTGGTTGACCCAATGGGCCGTCTTGTAGAAAATATTTTGGGCTTCCAACCAAATAGCCGCGAAGCCCAAATGGTTACAGTAGGCCCTTGTCCATCTTTATTTTGGGCCGTCTCATGCCATCTTTATAATCGACATGTCATCAGAGTCAGACGATGAGGCGACTATCCCATCGAATCTGGTTGTGACAAATAATATATGTACGGATTTACGAAAATTTACCCCAAACATAAAATTTAATGGCGGAAGTCGGAACGAATCTGACCGTCAGGCACGGTAGAAGTATGTTAGAAATTGATCAGTAGATCCGATGATACAATTTAATTAACGAAAATAAAAATATTTTCAAAAAAATAATAATTACGAGACTCAATCCTTTATCTTTGGGACGACAAAGACATGAATGGTCTAGATACTACTTAATATTCCGATCCAACAGGTATTTGAATACTTTTTTTTAGAGGAAAAGACTATTGGAAAGGATAGTTTCTAAGAACTTTCCTAGTAAGACTTAATTAGGGTTAGTTATAAGTCTAAACTCAATTTAGTATCAAATGTCAAATTAAACATTTTAATTCTTCATTAAATAATCAATATTATTTAATTTTTTATGAACTTATTGTTTGTTGCAGGTAGAAGTCAACTAATCAGAAGGAGCCTAGTAAATTTCAATTATCAAGAATTGATTAGTTAAACTTTTTAGTTAACCACTCTTACAATTAACTCCAGAGTTATTTACTATTGTGATGTCCACAAATATAACCATAACTATTCATCTGATCATTATAAAATGATTTATGGTTTCAGTAAGGTAAAATTTTTGTCACGCTCTTCACTCCTTAAGTTCCACCGATTCTTTAATGGATAGTATTCCATGATCTTGTTAATCTTTCTTGGATATAAAAATGGCGGATATCCTATTATTCAAGCTCCAAGTCAAATTATCTTTTTTTAGAAATTAACTCTGGTCGAAAGTTTTTACCGTGACCGTCTGGATGGAATCGACAAGGTAACTATATTATATTATTATATTTTTACTTTTTATGAAGCAGAGAGGTATCGACGTGATTGAAATGTCCTGAATTTGTCTAAATATTAAAGGACAAAAATTAGATTTGGATTATTAGATTGATTCACTGCCCTATTTTTTTCTTCCTTTCATCTCCATCACCATCACTTTTTCGGTTAAAAGTTATTTTAATGGGGCGGCTAATTTTCCCAGTTTTATCATTCGTCTGGATGCACGAAAAAAATAATAATAATAAATATTATTTTTGTGTCTAAATATTTAAACTTTTTTTCTTTCTTGTCACTCGACCCTTTCGTAATTTATTTTTAATAATGGGTTAAATTTATGATTTGGATAGAAATAAAGATACAAATCTACATCAACGTGGCGTAGTTTACTTAAATAAAATATCAATAATCAATGGGTATTTGGTCTAGTGGTATGATTTTTGCTTCGGATTCGAAAGGTCAACTCACCACACTCCATATTCTATTTTTTCTAATATATATATATATCAGTAACACTTTTTAACTAATTAAAAAAGCACTCATTATTCAAATAAGAAAAATACACCTTCAAAGGTTTTTGTAGGGAGATATAACAAATGGTCTCTTAGAGAGACAATTTCGAGTTGGATCAAATGTTAAAAGCTCTCTACATTATAATTTCTAATACATTACTGAGATAAATAAGAGAAGAGTTTCGAACTGATCCCTATAGTTTCAAGTTTCTAACACATCGATGAGATAAACAAGAAAATGAGTCAAGTTCCAAACAACTTTCATTCTTAAAGAATACCCACATTCACACATTTTTGTAGAGAGATGTTAAACAAAGAAGATCAATCTCTCCTAGAGAAACGTTAGTCGAGTTAGATGAAACGTTCAAGGCTTCCAATGTCATAAGTTTTTAACACATCAACGAGATAAACAAAAGAAAGGTCTGAGTTTGAACAAACGAAAAGATACAAAGAGAAACAAGTCCAAATTACCATCAAAATTTTAACACGTTATCGAGATAAACAAGAGAAGAGTCCTTCTGAGTTCGAACCATAAAAAGAAAATTAAAACACTTCAACACAGTTACGTTAGAGATTCATTTTGCAAAAGGAAACCCTAATTTAATGGTGATAATGTTGCAGTGTGTGGAGATGAAGTTTCAAAGGGAGGAGAAAAGAAAACCCTAGAGAGTAAGAGGAAGAAGACAAGAGAAAGCAAGAAAAGAGAGGATTGATTTGATTGAATGGGTCTTTGTTGAGGGGAGATGGAGATCAATTGAAAAGGGTAGGCAGAGATTTGTGGGGTACCCTGTCCTTCCACCAACTTCACCCAAATGGCCTTCAAATTAAGGCCAATAGTCCCTATATATTCCCATTTTCTGACAACCCCCAAAAATATTTATATATATATATCAACTGTTTCTGTGCAAGTGCCACGTCATCTTCTTGACTCTCGGCTTCTGTTTTCTATGGTTGTAGAGATGGCAGCAAAGGAGGCTTTTCAAAAGGTTTTGATTTTCATTTTGTACTTCCATTTTAATTTGTCACTGTTTATGTTGAATTCTAATCTATCTTGAGAATGGAATTGAATCGGATGTGGCTGAGCTATTTGGAGCTGAGTTAAGCGAGGAAAGACCTGTATAATAGGAAATAGACACTTTGACACTCAAACTGGTAAAAAGCCAATCTAAATTTTCTCAAGACGAAGAATTAGAATGTGTGTACCCGAGTCTTAGAGTGACGTTCCATTTATAAAGTATCAGATGACGGTCTCATGTAAGTTGTTTGAAAATTTGTTACGCGGTTACAGACAGTTGGAGTCATTATCATGGCGCATGGCTTCCCTTCAACCATAAATGGTTAGACCAAGTTATCGAGTTACCTTTGGTCGAGTTGCATAGGTCGACGGCTGAATGTTTACGAGATAATTAAATAGAAAATTTTGAAAAGTATTTTTAATGGGTTGAAAATAATACTTTTATCCTCCTAAAATTCATCCCATGATTTTGAAATCCACTTTTATACTCTCCTAAAAGTAAGCAAATTCATTCTATAAGATCACATTAGGAGTTATGAAAGAAAAATATTAGGAGAATTGACTCTCTCTTTGTTATTTGCACTAGTATATATATGATCAATATATCAATCTATGTCTAAACAATCTTTTTATTGGAGTATGCTGCTTTTGATTCTTGTTAGACGGAGATAACTTAAGTTTACTATATACTTTTATTCGATATCTCACAGACTTCATTTACATGATCAAATTCACGAGATTTTTATTTACAAAATTAAGTCTAGGATGCATATACATCTAAGATATATTAATTAACACTTGTTAACTAGATCGAAATGATGTTCATTTTCTCGATACTCTTTATATGATATATGGGGATAATTGTTGGGAAAATAACAAGCATTTGTCAGCCTTCTTTTCCTGTATAGGAAGATTCACACAAGTG